GTCACAGTACATCAGCGTCAAATATATAAAAGTTAAATTAACTTTTTTGAAGGAGGGCCAAAATCCCCATAAATGAGTCTTTGGTGCCCCCTTGTGGAATGTTTAGTGTGAGCTTTGAAATATTTACCTTTTGCACAGAAACAATAATGGGTTACTGCCATCCTTTAAGACATTTTAAGTACTTTCTGTACATGTTACATTATTCCTAAGGCACATAACTTAAAATAAGGCCATATGAATAATTTAATTCAAACTAGAAACATAAGAGACCAAATGTTGAAAATGTTCAGTAAATTTTTGTCATAAATTTATGACAATTTTGCTCTGTGAATCATAAATTAAGCAAAGGTAATGGAAAAACTTAGCTTTACACTGTGCTAGGTAAGTATCAAAACTGTTTTCTCAATAGCACTTCTACCCTTAAATTATTGCTAACAAATCCTTAAGACATTATTAAGTATTTAAATAACTGGAATAATTGTAAATGTCCATATTTGTGCCCGTAGAAATGTTAGTATAAAATAATCAGGTAACTTTTAAAGTGTTGTTTCTCTTTATATCACTTATCACAAGTTTCTGACTATTTATTTTCCAAACTAGGGAATGAAAAATAGGAAATTCCTGTCTTTCCTGGAGACAAGTGGAAGTCAAAAAGAAAAAAATATTCCTGCCCATTAGCTAACAAGGCTGTCAAGGGGGCAGACAACAGTGGGGAAAGGTAGATTCTTATCCTAAATCAGTAGAAGGTAAAGTGTTGATTTTCCCCAGATTTAACACTCCTTCTTTCCCTTATGTCCTTATTAAGCAGTGGGAAAAAAATACAAAAAGAAAGTGCCAAATTTAATCATCCCTCTTGTATTGGAATCTTCTTGGAAATGCAGAGTAGACCTATCAATAACTGCTAAATTTGTTATTACTTTCACTCAATAATCAAAATCTGTAAGAAGGTAGTAATGACTGGAATGTGTTAATACTTATTTTCATGGCTTGTGTCTTTAGATTACAAAGACCTTGGGACTGGAGCTAAGTCTTTTTCTGGAACTGAGCTCTCAGATAATAGTATATTCATGCAATTCATTTAGTTTTTCAAATTATAAAGTTGTGAGGAACTACGGAGCTAAGGAACTACTTTATGGCAGAACTGTTTTAAGTTAGAATTTTTTTCCTGACATACCAATAGATTTTCCTTTAATGGCAAAACAATCTTCCATTTAAGACATGGTAATTATATGCATATTGAATTTATCAACAGGGATTCTGCAGAGTTTTGTCATGTACAAGTGGCAGGCTACCTCTGGTAGAATCTTGGCTCCCCCACTTGTTGCCTAAGTGATCTTAGATGATTTAACCTAATTCTTGGCTTCCTGATATGCAAAAGGAATAAGATAACAATTGCCTTATAGAGTCAATGTGAGGAATAAATGAGTTAACGCACGTAAGGGACTAAGGACACTGTCTATCCATAGTAAACACTCAATTTATGATTAGATGAATTTTTTTTTCAAGCAGACATTTTTTACAAGCAAGTTAGAGGCTGGCTTTATAGTTTCACTGAGCATAATGCTAATGATATCAAGATCATATATTCTCTCCCCACAAATGGTATTTTGTTTTATTCTATTCATATTTAGCCAAACACATAGCCATACAGATTAGTGTAACACTTAGAGTTTCAACAGTGATCAACTCTCTTAATTTCTCTCATTTATAGACAGAAGAAATAGGCTCAGAATCAATAAGCTACCTGCATAAGGGCATAGCTGGTAAGTAGTTTAGAATACCCACTCCGGCTTTTTGACTCCTAGTCTAGTGCTCTTTCCATTACACTTTCACAAACTGTAAGAACAGTAGCTAAAAGAAGGAGTAAACCAAACAAATCCACTGATTACATGTGTGAAGCAATTTAAGAAATCATTTAGATCTCACTTTTTTGTGTCATGAAGCATTAATCACTAAGATCAAATATTATGAAATTAACATCATAGGATAGAGTTGTAAGCGTTTACTCGATAAAAATACTAGTAGCACTAAAAAATCGACTCATTCAATAAATACTTATTGAGCACCTTCTAGTTGCCTGGCACTGGGCAAGGTGCTAGGGATGCAACAGCATTTAAATCAAACATGATATGGTCCAGGTCTTCACAGAGCTGATAGGCTCATGGGGAAAGAAAATTAACAAACAATTTGAATAAAGTAAACTAAGTGCTGTGACAGGGGAAGCACAGGACGCTACTGGAGCATACAGCTGCTACTACAATACGTAGTCATTTACAATAATTTGGAGAATGCTGATTATTTTCTGGATAGCTAAAGCCTTTGTTTAATAAAGTTATTCTGGAAACTGTATGATTTTCTTCTAGTTAACCTACCTCTTAACCCCATCACAAATATAAAGCTTACCAGTAAAAAGCTTATCTTTCAAATTCCTACTCTGATCTTTCTTCAGAATTTTTATTATGAAATCATTAAAATATGTGGTACTGAGTCCTTATACTATTTTACTCATAACTACTTGATCATGGTACTCAAATCCCAATCAAAACCAGAAATATAAAATTTTGAAACTCCATTGTTAACAGTACCTGCGGTAGACAAGAATACGTGGAGATTATTGATTTCTAAAACAAAACGTGGTAAAATCTACATTTTCAACAGTAGAGTAAGATAAAATATTACATTCGAATGGACTGAGTTGCTACAAGACCACAAAGGTGATCACACGGAGAGGGCAGTGTGACTATACCACATAAGACAGGTGCAAAGTGCTTCCTAACGGACAGGAGGTAGGATTCCAGATTCTCACATTGCAATACTGACAATTTCAAGTATAAGGAGGCAAAAGAAATGCTTATCCTTCCTTTTTCATTTTCTGTAATAGAATAATAAAAATCCATAGGATATTGGGAAATAAACATTTTAAATTATATAAAATAAAAAATCTTGCATTTCATTTTTAAAAAACATACCATGAAACTGGATCTGTGATTTTTACAACTTAAGAAGTCACTTCTGGAATGGCATTTAGGCCAAGCAGAAGTCAAGAGCATAAAATAGCAAAAATGTTCATATGACAGAAGAGGATATGATTTGATCTAAGCCCCAGAAAGAGAGGTCAAGACAGGTAGTCAAACTATATCAAAGAGTTGTCTTCATAAATTAAAAGAATCAAGACTGGGAATAAGTTTTCTAAATGCAAAGAAACTTCAATTAACAATATTTATTAAAAATATTAATAAGTATATTGACCCTGATGTGGAAGATACCTCAGGAAATTAAGTAGACACTGAGAACTAAACTTGATTAGAATCAACTGAATCAGAAAATTTGATATAAAATGTATAGACTGGGTAAATTATTAAAGACAACTGACAATTTACTTATATTTATATTTAGCCTCCAAAAATTCTTTGTGGAATTAGAAAAGATATAGATAAAATGTAATTTTAGCAGCTAAAATTTTTAGTGAGTTAAACAACAAATTAAAATTTAGGGCAGATTTTTCCAAATATATTTATATCCAGGGGCGCCTGGCTGGCTCAGTTGGTTGAGTGTCCGACCCTTGATTTCAGTTCAGGTCATGATCTCACGGTGGTAGGATGGAGCCCCATATCGAGCTCCACACAGAGTCTGCTTATCCCTCTCCCTCTGCGCCTAGCCCCGCTCACCTGTCCCCGACTCTCTAAAATAAATAATCTTTAAAAAAAAAGATTTTATTTACTTGACAGAGAGAGATAGCAAGAGCAGGAACACAAGCAGGGGGAGTGGGAGAGGGAGAAGCAGGCTTCCCGCCGAGCAGGGAGCCCGACGTGGGGCTCGATCCCAGGACCCCGGGATCATGACCTGAGCCGAAGGCAGACGCTGAACGACTGAACCACCCAGGCGCCCCAATAAAATCTTTTTAAAAATTAAAAAAACCAAATATACCTATACGTAATTCACACTTTAAGACTGTCTTATTAAAATACTGTGTAAGAGCTACATTTTAAAAATCTGTGTGTATAATGTGTACACAGACATATACCCACAACAGTTACCTAAAGACAAACAAATAAAATATGAAACCATCTTCAAATTTTCCCCTGGTCTTAGTAATTTGTTCAACAATAGAACTTACCTCTTTCTTGCTGCTATTCTATAAATGGAACATGCTACCTCCAACCATTTTTGGAAAGAGGTACGTTATAAACAATTGAGTAAATTTTCTTATTTAAGAAACCCAATGTAAAACTAACTGTTGAGAAAAGAAAAACCAACAACAATCTTTTCTAAGTAGTGCAAATTTATCACAATAGTGATACCCAAGCTAGATTAAACAAATGGAATCTGCGATTATAGTTCTGGAATTTTAAAAAACGCTTAAATGAAATGCAGGACTTACAAGGGTTTATGAACTGACTGAGACTCTCATTGTGAATTAACAACATATGTCTAACAACTTAGTTTTTATGTCTTCTTAGTAATCAATATTAAGCAAATTTTATTTAACCAGAAGTGTGCTCTCATATGACACTCACTAAATTAAAAGATTGAAATTATAGAGTAAATTCAATAGAACTTCTGAAAACATTTTATTTATATTTCATTTCAGTCAAATACTCATTTTCCAAATATATAAGGCCATCTGTCTCAAGTTCAAAATTTGTAATATTACTTGGAAAACTATTTTTAAAAAGTGATCGAAGAACATTTCAACACAGAGTGATGAAATGCACAATTTTCAAAGGTTACATGAAACAGTTAAATACATATATATGACAACATTAAAAACTCTTTATTTAAAAACACTTATTAAAATGGGAAAATGTGACACAGTAAAATAAAATTTTTTCAAACTCATCACTTTAAAGAATACAGACATAGATTATGATATATACAAAATAGGAAATAAATCACCATCTGTCATTAATGGGAAATGTTGCATGCTTTCAAAATATTCATAATTTTAAGTCAGACAAAACGCTGTTTAGGGGGAATGCTTCTTTTATTTGAGAGTCTCCTCAAAGGCGTTTTAAATTCCGCTTACTCTGGGCACTTCCTGGAAGAGCATCTTTCCTATTTCTCGGCTTTGCTGCTCCTCTACTACATTCTTCAGACCCATGATAAGCACACAAACATAACACACAAAAGTCAAAACCACAGGCTGTACTGCTGCACAGTCCCCTTTTCTTATACGGCTGGTACTTAGCAGGGGATTGGCACCTGGGGCAAGGTTTTAATGCTTCATCAATAAATAGTGTTTTGGCAACCTGCAGTGAAAGCATACACACTGAATCTTCCAGTTTCACACAGAGAATCACTTTATTTCAAACTCTAAATATTTATTTCTAATAACTTATGAGAAATACTCACCTTGACATATTCATCTTGTTTACTACTTAAGGGAGTAACAGAAGAGCTTGCTGTAGGTGTCAAAACTTCTCCCCAAGGAGAAAATGTTGAAACTTCTCCTTTCTGAAAACCTGGTATCCTAGCCTGAGCTTGTACAGATCTTAAAGCTGATCGATTTAAAAGATGGAGCCGAGTGGCAGCATCCTCAACATTTAATATAGCCCCCTGCCGTAAAAGATAAGAGGGGTCAGTACTGGAATGTCAAAAGTTCCGGAACAGTTTTCTGATGCACATGTATTTAAATATTGAAAGTGATTTCACACTAAATTCCATTAGAATTTTCCCCCTAAACTTTCCCTTCTAGACAAAAAATTTTCTCTCAGCTAACACTTAAATGTCAAAGAAATATAAATGAACGAAATTAAAACAAGAAGTGTTAGCTTTAAGCTTACACGATGGGTTCTTTTTCTGCTTAAGGTATGGGTTGGAAAACTTTTCCTGAAAAGGGCCAGACGGTATATATTTAATGTTTTGCAGGCCAGATAGTCACAGCTACTCAACTGCCATTTTAGCAAAAGCAGCTGTAGAGATATGTAAATGAAAGAGCAAGGCTGTGTTCCAATGCAACTTACTTTAAAAACAGAAGTGATGGACAGGATTTGGCCCACAGACTGGAGTTTGCCAACCCCTCTTTTAAGTCAAGGTTTAAGAAGAGGTGAATCTTTGTAAAGTTTGCTATGGGATATCATGGAATTCTTTGAAGGTTTCTTACCTTAGCCACATGTCAGAAGAATAATGGTACTGGTTAGACCATAAAATTCAATTGGTTTGGCTAGTTTTTACAATACATGTAAATACTGGAGTCATTTTTATACTTACATTGTAATAAACATGCTTAGGTATTTTAAAAGGAGAAAAAAGGTATCTCTTCTCCGAACTGGATTTCCACATTACTTAAATATTCAGCCAAGAAATATTTTCAATAAGCCCTCTATTTTGTTGAGGTTGATAACGGGAAAAAATTGGGTTTTTGTTTTTTTTTTTTAACAAATTGGCCTTCTTAACCAATTATCAAAATAAAATGTACTGAGAGTGAATTTCCTCATGTGTCTAACTAAAACTGTGCTTCCTCTCCCTTGAGAGTTTCCCTTTGCCACAATTGGCTCCTAAAAGTGAGGAGAGAGAAAATAAGAGAAATTATAGTAGGATAAGTATAGGAAATAAGATTAGCTGGTCATGAAAAATTCCATGATTAACAGTTTAACAACATATGCATAAGTGTAATGGATGAACATTGGTTTGCCAAAATTAGAATGAATACAACTGAACTTTTTCAAGGACTCAGTACATTTCTTTATAGTACATTTGTATAAATAATTTGCAGCCTAGGACACAAGCACACGATAAAAGAGCACACCAAAATTTTGATGGATTCGATGCAATTGGTAAACATGGTGATTGTGTATGAACCAACAAAATGAATAGAGATACACCGTTGAAACACATTTTAGCCACAGAATAAACCTTCATTTATTTAACAAATATTTATAGAACTCCTAAAGGTGTCAAGTGAATAAAACAGTCTAATCCCAGGCCTTGTAGAGTTTAAAATGTGTGCTTCCATCTCTGAGCAATAGGAGGCAAAGAAGTCAACCAAGGCACATGTTCACGAAGGCCAAAATTTTTCAAACACAGTCACATCATGTTACCAGAAAATACTTAAATGTGAGAGTGGAGTCACAATGTGGTTGTTCATTTCCATAATTATAAAAAACAGTGAGGAATACAGTAAATTAAGAAATTCGATGGAAAAGCCGTATCCCGATTCTAACATTCATTCTCATGGCTGCAAAGCAAATAGATGAAATTGAGATTCTATTACACGTAGCTGCTGTTTGCCTTCTAACTTTTTATACATAAGGAGCTTTCAGAGACATTACACGAGTATGACGAAAACTATCAAACAACTTTGTCTTACAATGTTTCTGTTTGGGTTAATGATATACATTAGGAGAGTTCATGTGGAAAGTAACCAGTCCATATCAGAATAGGAGGGCAAAGTGCACCAGGAAGGATGTCTCTAGGGAAAAGAAGGAACAGGAAGAATACCTGATTTGTCTGGACTTACACAGAGGAGATTTCCAGTTCTGGTGGATAATAGGAGATGAATCGGGGATCTGTACAGAGAAACACTAAGCAAAACAAAAGAAAGAAACTGGGCAATTATTAACTCTGGAAAAAAAAGTTATATAGGAAAAAAGGTGTAATCGTAGTGTACTGCATGTTTCAGCAGTCAACAAACTCTTAATTTCAATACAGTCTTAATAATGTCAGCACCTGTTTCTGATTCACTCCCAAATGGTGGTGTGGTTACATTAGTGAGGAGAAAAGGAGAAAGGAATTCAGAGACGGGCGGGCGGGGAGGTAGTGGTAGTTCAGAGAGACGGGCGGGCGGGGAGGTAGTGGTAGTTCAGAGAGACGGGTGGGCGGGGAGGTAGTGGTAGGAATGGTGAGAAGTTAAGAGAACAAACTCTTCAAAGATAAAAGCCAAGAAATAGGAGGAAAGCCATGCTATTTAGAAACGTGGAGGTAAATCTCAAAAGGAACAACTGAAGAGTTGAAAGTGATTAACCTGGGACAAGAATCAAGAGTAAGAAGAGACAGGTAAGAGAATGTGTTTTGTTATAAGCCTCATAGTCCAGTTTGACTTTTTAAACCATGTACTTGTTTTACTATGAAAAAAAAATTTAAAAAGCAAACCAAAATAAGAAAAAAGTTAAAGTAAGGAAAAACGTATAGTCCTTTAAGAAATAAAGTTGGAAAAAAAAGTGGTGGCCAGGATATGAATATTTTATCTGGAATTACCTGAAGTGTTGCCAAACACAACCATGTTTCTTTCTTTGTACATGTACCTGGAGCTGATAGTTTAATATTAATAGATGCTTGCTTAAAAATTGTTTTTTGGGGGGCACCTGGGCGGCTCAGTCAGTTAAGCATCTGCCTTCCGCTCGGGTCATGATCTCAGGGTCCTGGGATCCAGTCCTGAGTCTGGCTCCCTGCTCAGTGGGGAGTCTGCTTCATCCTCCCTCTCTGCTGTTTTATTTGTTTGTCAGAGAGAGAGAGAGTACAGGCAGGGGGAGCGGCAGGCAGAGGGAGAAGGGGAAGCAGGCTCCCCGCCGAGCAGGGAGCCCCATGCGGGACTCGATCCCAGGACCCTGGGACCATGACCTGAGCCGAAGGCAGACACTTAACCGACTGAGCCACCCAGGCGCCCTAAAAAAATTATTTTTTAAAGTAAGTCCTTAGCACATAGAGCAGCACTCTAAAAAATACGAAGTTAAGAAGGCAAATATTTTCTCTAGTATAAGCTCCCAGGCCCAGAAGCTGCAGCAGTAAGTAGCCAGGAGCTGTGAGCAAGTTGTAAGGCAATATGGTAGGTGAGAAGGTAACACTGTTCTTCAAAGTAAAATAGAAAGTCAACATTTTAGTTAAGTGCAGTCCCTAATATTTCATTGTAATGAGAAACCCACCAATCTGTATCTAGGTATTTATATTTGTTTACACCATGTATCACCTCAATTATTATATTTTGTCAAATTAGAAATTTACTTATGTTATTAAATACTTTTTACTAGAACAAGGATAAGAGAGTGAACTCTCATGGTTTCTTTTGGTATTTAATGGCTAAGAAAGGTCTAAAAGCTGCATATACAATACGTACAGGGCCAGAGTCATCAGATGCCTAGTACACAAAGCAGTGTCACTAGGAAGAATAAATCAGCTTCTGCAGGACTTTTCCTGTCAATTCAAAGCTGGTTCCCAAATCTTCAAGAAAATACAAGCTTATGATGCTTCCCCAGTACTACTCTGCCACGCTCATTCATTTGCAGGCCTCCCTCTATGCTATCCTCTCTGCTGAAACACTCCTCCCTGTCTTCACCTGGCTAGCCACTCACTCCTCATCCATCAGGTCTCAGCAGAGTTGCACTGTTTCTGAAAAGCCTTCTCTTGTTTCCCAAGTGTCAAATACTCCTTTTAAATGATCTAATAGAACGAACTCTGGGCTTCCTCTAACACACCTGTATTATAATCCCCTGTTGACTCATATCTCAAGTCATGGGGCATGAGTTCCAAGAGAGCAGGGACCATTTCAGAAAGGTTCACCATTGTAATCTGAGCAATTGGCACATAATATCCACTCAAAAGACTAGATAGAAAATGCTTTAAGGATATCTAATTATGAATAGGATCCAGCATAGCACTGGTATTCAAACCCTGCTAACAGCACACACACCTAAACAACAAAACCCTACAAGATGCTCCTGATGCTAGGTAGTCTACTCCACTTATGGACTGGAAGGAAATGGAGTTTGAGAGAAGTAAAACATTCATGAGTGAATGTTCCCTAAATGAAAAGGGTTAAAAGATAGCAGGAAAACCAAATTAGGTTGTCCAGCAATGAGATTATTTTACAAATCCATTTGAGAAAAGTATTATATACATTACCTCAGAATCTGCTTTCAGTTGTGAGATATAACATTTCCTCCTCCGATTTGCTTTTTTATCTTGAACAATAATTTCTCGCCAATTTCTGCTCACTTTCCAAACACTGCAACAAAATGATTGGTCTTTATATTGTATATGTTCCACAAAATTATTCCATTTTTGCATATGACAATTAATAAGAAAAATTTGTTTTAAAGATTTGGACAGTAAATTTAAACCTAAAAATTTACATTAAAAATATGACTTGATCTACATTGTTGTTCCATACTGTTTCACCATATGAAAGAATTGTCATTAAAATATTAAGTATATGCCAGCATTATATTGACAGGTTATTATCTTACAAATAGTTAAGGGAAAAACATAGTTTCATATAAAGCCAATATGAGTCCACTGGGAGACTGATTAAGAGGATTTAACTTCAAATGTGAGACAAAAATTTGGAACACAACATGTAGAAAATGATTATCATCCATACAGCACAAGAGGTGTTTATCTATTCCTCCTATGAAAGTACTTAACAAAGCTATCATTTTTTTATTAGACATTTTTTATTATGTTATGTTAATCACCATACATTACATCATTAGTTTTTGATGTAGTGTTCCATGATTCATTGTTTGTGCATAACACCCAGTGCTCCATTCAATATGTACCCTCTTTTTTTTTTTAAGATTTTATTTATTTATTTGACAGAGAGAGAGAGAGCACAAGTAGGCAGAGTGGCAGGCAGAGGGAGAGGGAGAAGCAGGCTCTCTGCTGAGCAGGGAGCCCGATGCGGGGCTCGGTCCGAGGACCCTGGGATCATGACCTGAGCCAAAGGCAGCCACTTAACCAACTGAGCCACCCAGGCGCCCCAGTATGTGCCCTCTTTTTTTTTTTTTTTAAAGATTTTATTTATTCATCAGAGACAGAGAGGCAGAGGGAGAAGCAGGCTCCCCACTGAGCAGGGAGCCCGATGCGGGACTCGATCCCAGGACCCTGGGATCATGACCTGAGCCGACGGCAGACGCTTAACCATCTGAGCCACCCAGGCGCCCGTGCCCTCTTTTATACCCATCACCAGGCTAACCCATCCCCCCACAAACAGAAGAACTATCAATAATTCATTGGATGTACTAAGTGCCAAATAACAATCATTATGATGGGTAGCACTACAAAGTTCCTATTTTAGAAACCAAAGTTGATGAGAATGAAGTAACCAAAAAAAAACCCTCAATTTATATCCAGTGGTTGCCTATTTATCAATAACCTTGGCTATACTAATTATGAAAGAAAAGATAATCTCTCAGCTGTTATTCTGGTCTTTTTTATTACTCTAACTCAAATCACTCAAAGGGAATAAGATCAGACAATTCAAAAAAGTTCGCTTGCTGTTATGGGGGTAATACTGTCCTTCAGTTACCATGGCCACTTCAATTGTCTTGCCTCTCCCTAAGCCAATAAATGTGTCTTATATCAGATTGATGGAGAGGAAAAGGCAGAAAGTCACCTCTAAATGGGGAAGAAATGAACTATGCAATTGGTTATTTGCCACAGTTACTTCAACTGACCGTAATCTCTCACATTACCAAGAATAAACACTGCTAACATTATACATGCATTCTGCAGTACAAATACTATACATTTGGAGGGGTGGGGAAAAGTGATAACTACAAAAATATGACCGAATATCAACTGCGCCCACAAGTGAGCAACCAAAAATATCACTCAAGTTTTTAATTGGTCTCTATCCAAATACTACAGCATATAAAAATAAACTTCCTATATTTCAGCCATCTCCTTGATTTTTTAAACAAATAATTTATCTCATTCAAACATTTTTTTAAAGGCACATACATACAGGTACACTAATCTGTTTATTATCCTACTTGTGTTACACCAAGTACATTCCCAGTCAAGTTTATTTAGAAAGGCCTTAAATCTTAATATGAGTTTGTGGGGCAGTATTGGATTGGAAATCAGAGGGCTCAGGGCACCTGGGTGGCTCAGTTAAGCGTCTGACTCTTGATTTCAGCTCAGGTCATGATCTCAGGGTCATGGGATCAAGCCTGGCATTGGGCTCCGTGCTGAGTGTGGAGTCTGCTTAAGATTCTCTCTCTGCTTCTGCCCCTGCCTCCACCTCTCCCTTTCTAAAAAAAAAGAAAAAGAAAAAAAGAAAAGGAAAAAAAATCAGAGGGCTCAATTAAAGACCTAGATACATTCCTATCTCCTTGAATGACTGTTGGCAGGTACTTAACTTCTTTGGAACACAGTTTCCTCATCTGCAAAATATGTGATTAAACTAGATGTCTCAGAAGACTTCCAGCTATGAAATTCTACAATTCTCTACAGTAGCCTACAATTAATTTGTGGAGGAAAAGTGAAGAAGGGCTTTAATAGAAGCAGTGGCCATAAAAAACAGCAAGGATTCTATGAACCAAACTCTTGACATATCTCTATCAAAAAACAAATTCACAAACTCTCCTGCATGTCCTCCCTCAACCATCACCTTGCAGAAGTCCTGTTCTACAGGCTTCCCTCCTTCCTGGTCATGGCATTCCCAAAGATCTTGTCTTCTGATAGTCCTGCAACTCCCCAAAATTGCCAGTATGAACACAGTCTCACGTTAGTCTTTATAACCCTCGTTCCTTCCTTCAGTACTCCCAAATGTCTGTTTCTCTTTAATTATGTAGCAGCATCCAATATACTGAAATCTCTGTTAACACAAATACTTCAGTTTCTAATTCCTTGAAATTCCCAAAAGTAATTACCTTCCACTGCCCCGTTAGCAATGAAAATGAACTAATCCCTATTCCCTTGGTCTCTAGAGAAACTAAGCCCTAAAATGAAAGCTAACCATTATTTTGGATTCTAGAATTTAGATTAAATAACTAAATGGTATCCTTTGTATGCTGTCATTTCTTAGTCACCATAATACTTTACATTGTTTCTGACCAAGTGTCATAACTTTAATACAATTTGCAATCTGACAATAGGATGTGAACTATTAAATCAGTAAATAACTTTTGCGGAATATAGTTTGCCATCTTGAAAATTTAAAGTTCAACGTTTAGAAACTCTCTTCCCAAATGACAGTGACATGAACTTTATCCAGAAGACTATACTGATGCTTCCAAAACAGGACTTTATTTTTTTTAAGATTTATTTATTTATTTCAAAGAGAGAGAGAGAGAGAGGTTGGGGGGGAGGGGCAGAGGGAGATAACCCCCAAGCAGACTCCCCACTGAGAGCCAAGCGCAAGGCAGGGCTCTACCCCACAACCTGACTCCAGCCAAAACCAAGAGTGGGACCCCCAACTGACTGAGAGCCAAACGCAAGGCAGGGCTCCACCCCACAACCTGACTCCAGCCAAAACCAAGAGTGGGACTCCCAACTGACTGAGCCACCCAGGCACCCCTAAAACAGGATTTTAAACAGAAGGAGCTCTATTAGGAAGCTCACTAAACCACCTTTGATAAAGTGTAAGACAACTAAAGATAGAGATAATAAAACAAAATGAATAAAAAAACAGGACAACTACTCAACTCACAGAAAAGCTTTCCAACTTAAAAAAAAAAAAAGTGGTAAGAAGGAAGTTTTACTTCAGAAAAAAATTCTTACCTGCATAGGCTTTCTGCAGTCAAGGAATCAAAAACCATAGCAAGAATATGTTTTAAATTTCTATATTTTAATTCTGTTAAGATGTCCAGTTTTTCTATACCCATTTTCTTGCCAATCAGTCCTGCAAGTACACACTGTAGTACAGCTATTTGCCCCCCATCCTTCTCTTCTAAGAATTCATGTGCACCATTTTGCTGGAATCTTTTTCTTTTGTTTCTCATAAAGAGCTCGTGCACTAACTGCAAGGCTGGGGTCTTTGATAAATTCTTAAAGCTTAAAATCTCATTGTCACTGCTCGGCTGATTCTCCGACGTGTCTGAAGCAGCTGCTGGTGTTGCTTCCGAGTCAGAGTCCCTTTCTGTCTCAGACTGTGAGCTTTGTTCCTGGAGGGTGGACAATCTTCTCAGCCTCCGAAGATGCCCTGACTTTTTTATGGTGTCCCCCACTTTGACAGTTCCCTTATGTTTCCAAAGTTCTCGAAAAGAACCCTCCTGGTCAGAGAGGGAATCTTCTGATTTATCCAAACAAAGTGAGTTAAAACCACTGTCTTCAGGTGTTGAAATATTGCCCCTCACTTCAGCTGAAGGAGAGAGCCTTTGACTTGCATTAATGTTTGCTACAAGATTACTTATTGGAGTCACACATAAATTCTCATTTGTTCCACAAGATGTTCGACTAGCAGAAGAGCCCAGAAGTTTGGGATATGTATTCTCATCATTAACAAACAGACTGCTATCACTAAGGTCATATGTGATAGAGTCTTTAAAACTATCGCCCTGAATCGGAGATATACATTCAACTTCAAATAGGCTACAGTCATCTTTGGAATCATCAACTGTGGAAGTCTTCTGTTGAGAAAAATTAAGTCTCAATTTTTGACTGCTGGAAGTTGTTTCTTCTGTTTTCAAAGTACTAGTAACTAAAGGACTAAAATTGGTTTGCCTTGGAAAACTTGCAGCACAGCTTGGATTATTTTTTTCTAAGTTGAGGACTTGGTTTATACTACTTTCTAGAGAACTGTTTTGTGATTCACAGTCCCCCTTTAGGAGAGAGAAAGATATGTCCAACCTTCTACGCAGTAAAAATTTTTTTCCACTGACTTTAGGGGTTTCACAAAGTTCTGGAGTTTTATCATTTTCCTTCCTAGAAAAGACAAATCTCTTTTTTTGAGTTGGAGATTCTAAAGGATGAGTTAAGCCCAGATTTGAAGTTTCAGGATGTTCATGGATTAATGTTGGGCCTTTTTCTTTCTTTCCAAAAAATTCTTTATCTGTACTACCAAAGTTGCAAGGTTGTAACAACTCATTGTAGCCACTATCTTGAAATGAAGATGTGGAACAGAAATCTCTGAAGCTGGAGGATTTGAAGTTGACAGTAGGAGAGTCCACCTCATTTTCTGCTCCACTGCAAGCTTGGCTTGAACGTCTCTCTGACATCTTCACAATGTTTCTACAGAGTGAAAACAGATTTTATTCTTCCTTTGAAATGAGTAGCCTAGCAGCTTATCCAAAAATATGTGAATAGGGATAATAGAAAATGTTATGGCAATAAGAAAAGTTACCTTAAAAAAACAAATCTACTCTAATATATACTCATGTGTATATTACTTAACCCAACTTTTAACATTATAAAAACCAAAACTTTTGGGTTATACATATTCACAGACTACTTGGTTAAGCATAGTCCTAAGCACCATTCATAAATATTTTCTTGAACTACACTTGAGGAAAAAATCTGGCAGCATCATTTTTAGATTTTATTACCTTACGATTTTAACAGCACTGAAGTACAGAGTTATAGTTTTAATATTCTAGCTTATTCGTACTGGCCTATATCTAGTCAGTTGGATATTTCCCTTAAAAGTTCTGGTATATAAGTAAAGCTGCTTAAAAAACTATATGCCAATTATTAAACATGTTTTTGGAAATGTGTCACATGGGTGCTACCACTAGATTTAACGGCAACTTGGCTAAGCAGTGCCAGGATAATGTTATTCATCTTTGTGACATAGGCCTGCCACAGAAATCCAGTCCCCATGACCATTTTCGAGGTCTGAGTTCCCAGACTCATGACTTTGCAAAGACTCCTTGGCTGATTGATAAATTACTAATACATTCTTCTTGAGCTAACCCAAATGAACCAGCACCCCACAGACAGAGGCCCATTACAAACCTGGCATGTCATTCTTGTCTCATTTTCTAAATATTTTGAGACATCAGGTCCAGTTGCAGGCTTGAATTCACAGATAACAGACAACTATTTGTGGGAAACTCACCCTTTATAATATTCTTGAAATTACAAGAACAGAAGTCAAGTAAATTACTTGTAATTACTTATTGAGTTACTCAGTAATTATATTTGTAAGGAATAATACTAGGAAATACCTTAATCCTTAACATTTTCTTAACAGTATTATCACATTCCTTCTTTTTAGAAACTCAAATCTTAACTCAAAGAGTGTGAAGGGGAGAAAACTACCATAGTTTCTGATATTTCTCCAGATTATTCAAAGAACACTAAGAAAACTGTCATTTTTCAAAGTTTTCTCCAGACCAAATACATGATTTTTCTCTATTAAAAGATCCTGGGAAAATATATTTTAGTTGACTATAATGGTAAAGTAATATATTTATGCCTAGGTTATACTAGTTAAGTACCTAAGTGAATGAGTTTTTAAAAACAACAACAACAAATTGCTACTCCAACCACAAAACAAAAGTTTCTTTATGCTAAAATGATCATGGGAAGATTACCACTGGGCAAAATATCTAAGTGTTTTTCAACCTTTTAAACCTATGTTCAATTCTGGTAAATCTCATACATGTTCTCTTCTGATCTAGATCCCCACAGATCATAAAAATGACTGCTATCTTCTGTACATGCTTACCAGCCAAGATAATCAAACTTTGCTTTCTATAACTTGTATTATACTTTAAAACAATTTTGTTTTCAAAATATTAAGTTAATGACATATAATGAGCTTCCAGATTATACCTGCACCCATGAATATTTTCCCCTCTCTGAGAATCATTCTATAAATTTAAGTTAAAATTAGGTCAACAAATCCTTCTAAAATTTTAGAGCAAATGTAACTATTCTACCTTACCACTAGGTGTCTCACCATGCTAGAATTTGGGAAACGGGCAAATTGTTAGAAACAAAACCAGGATGCAGATATCCTCTCCCCCTATCACCCAGAGGCCACTTGATATAAACATAAACATATAAACAAAACATTAATTTTTTTCTGTTCATCTACCGATCTGAAGTTGCCTCCACTGTGCTTTCTCTGCTGTCATCATGTCCATCTTTCTACTATCCCAAGACATTGGTCTCAAACAAAATTTGGTTCTTCAAAACTTAATTTTTTAAATCATTTAAAAAGATTCATGCAAAATTTTGAAATGTCCATTGACTTACTTAATTTTACTGATTCAACAGTTCACTAATTAATCAAACGAGCCTCCTTGATACTCATTTTTTAAAACCAGGCTCCTGAGTGTTGAGAACACATCTCTATGTGCTCTCAAAAAAGAAAAAATTGGCAAGGATGTGGAGAAAAGGGAACCTTCACACACTGCTGATGGGAATGCAAATTGGTGCAGCCGCTGTGGAAACGGTATGGAGGTTCCTTAAAAAATCAAAAATAGAGGGCGCCTGGGTGGCTCAGTTGGTTAAGCGACTGCCTTCGGCTCAGGTCATGATCCTGGAGTCCCGGGATTGAGTCCCACATCAGGCTTCCTGCTCAGCAGGGAGTCTGCTTCTCCCTCTGACCCTCTTCCCTCTTGTGCTTTCTATCTCTCGTTCTCTCTCTCTCTCAAATAAATAAATAAAATCTTAAAAAAAAAAAATAGAACCATCATATGATCCAGCAATTCCACTTCTGGGTATTTACCCAAAGAAAATGAAAACACTAATTTGAAAAGATACATGTACACCTCTGTGTTCATTGCAGTATTATTTACAATAGCCAAGATATGGAAGCAACCTAAGTGTCCATTGATAGATGGACTGATAAAATGAGGTACATATATACAATGAAATATTACTCTGCCATAAAAAAGAATGAAATCTTGTCATTTGTGACAACATGGATGGACTCATAGGGTATTATGCTAAGTGAAATAAGCCAGACAAAAACAAATACCACATGATTTCACTTATTGTGGAATCTAAGAAACAAAAAATGAACAAACAAAACAGGAACAGACTCATAGATACAGAGAACAAATCTGAAGTTGCCAGAGGGGATGGGGGTAAAGGGTAGTCAAAATAAATGAAAAGAATTAGAGGTACAAACTTCCAGTTATAAAATAAATAAGCCATGGGAAGGTAATATATACCATAGGGAATACAATGAATAATATTGTAGTAACTTTTTATAGTGACAGATAACTAGACCTATCAATGTGATCATTTCATAATGTATAAAAATGTAGAATCACTAATGTTGTACACCTGAAACTAATATAATATTGTATGTCAACTATAATTCAGTTTAAAAACACTTAAGTTAGAGAATGAAATACTACTTAACTATATTAAAACCAAACTTTCATTTGTTAAAGTGGAAAATCTTACCATCAGTAAATCTTGAGATCTTAGATGTCAGTTATGTGAGCTTCCAAACAAGAAAATCTTTCACTTTGCCTTCAAAACTCATGCCAAAGTATTACCGATTAAAAACTCTAGTTTGGACAATTGAAACCTGCAGCAACATGATGACTGCTAAGACTGGCAAGGTACATAAAGTACACGCTTCAGGGATTATTCCTAACATATGAAAAGGCCTAAACCATTTTGAACTTCTTTCAGCTCTCCAGATAATGGTAATTTCAATATCCTTGTTCTCTCCAGCGAGTCTGGGAACTGAGGAACCTTCCCAAATTCGGGTTTTTCTGAAAATGCAGTGTAACAAGCCACAGCGCGGTCATTTACTCGCCCAAGGTGCTGTCAGCGGGTGGCTGGTTAACGGTCTCACCAGGGCGTCTTTTGGCCCCGTTCGTCCCTCCTGGACCTTCCCAAGGCCAAGCTGGCGAGGGGACGGGGGTCGCCTCGGCTCCGCCGCCAGGGCCCAGGGCCCAGAACGCCACCGAAAGGCGGAGGGTGGGTGGGCGTCACCTGGAGCGGAGCGAGCGGGCAAGAGATCGGCTTCGGGGCGCCTCTCTAGTCCCAGCACCTGGAAAGCAAAGTGGGCGCCGGGCCCGGGGACGCCGGGAGGCCCGCTAGCCGGCACACACTTGGGCCCCCCACTCCCGCCCACCTGGAGAGCGAGGCGCGCCCGCACCGACCGGGCCGCGGGGCCAGGCGGGAAGGGAGTCAGGCAGCCGCCGCTGGGAGCGCCGGGCAGGAGCCACCGCCTCGCCCCCAGGGATGCCGGGCTATGGCAACCCTCACGCCAGGTTCGCGTGGGGCCGCCGCGTTTCCCTCCTTCGGTTTGAACTGCCCGCCTTGAGTAACCGCTACGCGCCGCCCCGCCCCGCGCCGCCCCTTCCTCCGCCTCCGTGGCGCCCCCGCCGGCCGCCCCGCGACCTGCAGGCTGGGGTCCCGGCTTCCCCCGGAGGCGGTCTCCTCCTCCCTTTCCCACTCTTCCACCCCCACCCAAAGCTCAGCCGGGCTTCCTAACTTCCTGGGCTCTGCCTCTCCCCATTCTCACCTTGGGGAGCATTATGTAGAAAGGCCACTAGGTCCTACAGTGGGATGCCATTAAAAATAATGCGGGTGAGTGGTCACTTGAGAATGTTTCCTGAGATAGGTATAAAAAGCAGGTTACAAACTGAATGACGCCTTTTGGTAGTATAGTTATACACAGGATGAGGTCTGAAAGGTATGACTAACTTGGTTACAGTGTCTCTACACGGGATTATGCTTGATTCGGCTAGACGGGATGTTTTATATTATTCACCGGACACCTATTCTATGCCAGGCTCCACCCTTCTGCTCTTGGCAGCTTCCTCCTAGTCTCCTTTTTCTGGCTTCTTTTTCTCTGCCTTTTCCCTAAATGAGACGTCCTACCTCAGCACTTTTTTTTTTTAAACTTTGCCATTATGTTCTTACATAATTCTTGTGCAGAACCTCACCCATTACTTTTAAGCCAATAATAGCAGCTACTACCACTCTCCTCCAACTGGACATTTATTTCTCTGTCTGGATGCCCTTTAGTCATCCAAAATGAAATATATCCAAAATAAAACTCACTAACAATTAAGTTCTGCCAATCACTAGGCTAGCTACTGGGAATACAAAGATGAGTACAGCACAGTTATGGCCTTAAGGGGCTCACAAGCACTGTAATAGGGGGGCAGTAGTAGTACAAAGGAAAGAGGATCAAATAACCCTAAGGAATTCAAAGAAGGGATAGAATTAACTTTATAAAGATCATGACTTAATCAGAGAAAGACATGTACCATATGACCTCACTGATATGAGGAATTCTTAATCTCAGGAAACAAACTGAGGGTTGCGGGAGTGGAGGGGGGTGGGTGATAGACATTGGGGAGGGTATGTGCTATGGTGAGCGTTGTGAATTGTGTAAGACTGATGAATCACAGACCTGTACCTCTGAAACAAATAATACATTATATGTTAAAAAAAGAAAAAGAAGAAGAAGATAGCAGGAGGGGAAGAATGAAGGGGGGGAATCGGAGAGGGAGACGAACCATGAGAGACTATGGACTCTGAGAAACAAACTGAGGGTTCTAGAGGGGAGGGGTGGGGGAATGGGTTAACCTGGTGATGGGTATTGAAGAGGGCACGTTCTGCATGGAGCACTGGGTGTTATACTCAAACAAGAAATCATGAAACCCTACATCAGAAACTAATGATGTAATGTATGGTGATTAACAATAAAAAAAAATAAAGACCATGACTCGAGGTGGATTTTGAGGGACAAATGGCAATTTAAAAGTCAGACAACAGGTGATTTCAATCTCAAAATGTGCAAGAGCAGGAAAGTTGGGACAGTTGGGGAAACTGTAAATAGTTTGTTATACCTAGAAACTCAGGTTTATTTGAGGAAAGGGCAAAGAAAATTCTTGAGAAGGGGAAGAAGCCAAGTCATGGAGAATTTTGGATGCATTTAAGAGTCTGAAGTTGATCCTCTAGGCATTGCAGAGCATTTTAATTTTAGAAAGATCACTCTGGTGGCAGAATGGAGAACAGAAGGAAAAGAGGTGAGGGTGGTTACAAGACCACTTAGGAAGCTACTGCATGACTCTGGAAGCCAGTGGGGCTGGAGAAGAACCTGGACTCAACATGTTCAGTTAGAAGAATCAAATGCATGGGGCAGGGGTTGAGGAAGCACAGAGGACAGGTTTGGAACAAAATAAGATGGATTTAGTATGAGGTTGTTAAGTTTCAGGTACCTGTAGGACTTAAGGAATTGGTGAATTACACATAGCACCTCTCTGAAGACACCCACACGTACCCAGATAAAGTGAGTAGTGCCCTCTCTAGCTCTTCAAAGAAATCTCTGTTACAGCCATTTTGCCCTTCCCCCACCATAGCATTTGCAATCCTCCTTCTTTGCTGAATTTTCTCCATGTAGTTTATCACCTTCTAAAAATGTCATATTACTGGGATGCCTGGGTGGCTCAGTCGGTTAAGCGTCTGTCTTCAGCTCAGGTCATGATCCCAGGGTCCTAGGATCAAGTACTTGGGCTCCTTGCTCAGCGGGAAGCCTCTTCTCCCTCTACCTGCCGCTCCCCCTGCTTGTGCACTCTCTGACAAATAAATAAAATCCTTAGAAAAAGTAAATAAAAATTAAAATGTCATATTACTTACTTATCTAGTTTAATGTCTGATCCTCACTCCCACTATAACATAAACAGGGCAGGGGATTTTGCCTATGGTTTAAAAAATCCACAAAATCCCAAACATAATTTAAACATTGCTCTTTTCTCTTTATCTAGTTAATTTATTTTTCTTTATTTTATTACGACTGAAGACCGCAAAAGTATAACATAACTCCCTTCTATCATAAGAATAATTTTTACTCCCCCCCCCACCGAAAAGGGAAAAAGGAACCTAGTTACATGTAGCTTGTCCTGGCTTTACTCATATACCCCAAATACAAATCACTGAGCTATATTCTCCTATTCTTCTTTTTTTTTTTTTTTCTATTTACCCACCATGGTCTTTGGCCTTTTTGCTTCCTTTTCTGGATTGGATGTCATCCCATTACTGACCTCAGAATTCTAAAACCCATCTGTTTTCCACAAGATCTAATTCTTTTGGGGACCATCCAGCAAAACATAATGAAAGACTTTTCCAATCACGATGACTAAAGCTATGCAGATATACTTAAAAGAATAAGATCAAGGAATATGAAAAACAGAGATTCAGGGAGGAAAAAAGCAACTTGCATCTCCATAACCATATTTTAAGGAATTAAAAGCACTAGTATCCAAGATAACAAGACATCTGCTCTCATTAGGAGAGGGCAATGGAGTGATATCTGCACATGGGAAGTGCTCAAGAAAAGTTAGCTGTTACCAATGATAATAGTTTACATTGACCATGCTCCATAGTGATTCTAAAACTATTGGTTCCTGCTGATAGGAAAGAGGGTGTTGGATTGAGAACTAGCATCAACATGGACTTTTGCTGAATTTCTGGATCTCCTTGATATCACTTGCAATTACTCTACCCTTCCACAGGGTCCTAGGACTCATTTCTATCCTACTTTTGCGATCCATTCTGATCTCCATAGACTGTTATGTGCCAGAATCCTTTTGATACCTCACCTGGAGAGTCAGAATCCAGTAAAGTGTGCAATGATTAAAGTTATACTTTCTGTATCACTCCATCATCTTTCTCTTTTTTAAAAAGATTTTATTTATTTATTTGACAGAGAGAGAGACTGCAAGAGAGGGAACACAAGCAGGGGGAGTGGGAGAGGGAGAAGCAGGCTTCCTGCTGAGCAAGGAGCTCGAATTGGGGCTCAGTCCCAGGATCCTGGGATCATGACCTGAGCCAAAGTCAAGACGCTTACCGACGAAGCCACCAAGGCGCCCCTCCATCATCTTTCTCTTATAACAACAGTTTTATCTAGTAATTGTTGTAGGAAAGCTTATTTTGACTATTCTGTTGCATTACTCTCTTCTCTTTGGTTGAGAGGGGAGGTAGTTTGTAAGCTAATGGTCAAAATATTTATGCTGTATGTTGGCCTGTCTGTGAAAGAAGAAGAAAATCCATTATGTTTCCCTGGAAATTAAAAAATTGGCAGCCAGGAAGACCAGGAAGATCAAGTTAAACCTCCCAACCTGGTCTGTAAAGGTACGATCAGTTTGAACTCCTGGAAGTGAAAGGTGAAGCCTGGCCCAACCCGACCCCGCTGTGGCTGTGGGGGGCGGGGTCCTGGGGAGTCTTGGAGAAAAGGTTTTGTGCCTTCGGGTGGGGCTTACCCCTCGTATTTATGATCTTAATTTATACAGTGCCCGCCATGGAAGCAAATGTCTCCTGTATCGCTGTGTACATACCCGATCTGGGGGTGTAAATAGGCTGTTCTGCGTATAAATAAAATTTTCCATTGTCAAACTGCTGGATGGAAGACAGGAAAGCAGTATATTCTGCTTAATAAGAAATCAAAGAGATGTTGGGGTGAAAGAAACCTGTTTCTCTGCTTAACTATAATCATTATTAACAACTATTTTCTAAATTTTAATTCATTTTCTTCTTCCTTCTGATGTAATTGAAAACCCGCTGTGAAAGAAGCAAACGAATGTCAGTGTTGTGAACCCAATTGCTATTAATCTCACTGATTTTGATCTTTCGAAAAACACACCTCCACTGCGCAGATCCTTTTGTTTCATCTAGGGAGGAATACATGAGATGGAAGGAAGGTCAATCAATGGATAGTGACTGCTACCAATATCCTTTAGTTTTAAGTGGAATTAATTTATGTAGCTGCCTTTATACCGCCTTTGCTTTTTTTAAAAAATGTATTTTAGAGAGAGAGAGACAGCACGAGTGAGAGGGACAGAGGGAAAGGGAGAGAGAGCGAGAATCTCAAACAGACTCCACGCTTGAGTACAGAGCCTGATGCGGGGCTCCATCCCAGGACCCGGAGATCACGACCTGAGCAGAAACCAAGAGTTGGGGGCGCCTGGGTGGCTCAGGTCATGATCCCAGGGTTCTGGGATCTAGTCCCGAATCGGGCTCCCTGCTTCTTGGGGAGCCTGCTTCTCCCTCCGCCTCTCTCTCTCTCGAATAAATAAAATCTTAAAAAAAAAAAAAAAAAACCCAAACCAAGAGTTGGAGGCTTAACCAACTGCGCCATCCAGGCGCCCCCAGCCTTTGCTTTAAAACAAGTAAAAGGAGTGGGTCAGAGGGAAAACAGGAGCCTACGAAAGTTTCAAAAAGCAAAAATGAAATTATGTGAAGGATAGGGGACGGCTGCTCCACTGGCCCAGCACAGGTATCAAACAATAGGGAAAACACAATCTGAAAAGTGCTTTTTAAAGTGAAAATCAGTGATGCAGTCGCTGCTTCTGTGTTCCTCCGAGTAACGGTTAGCTTAGGATTCCGGGGGCACTTGTCATTTCGCTCTCTCCTAACCCTCAGCCATCCTGGAAAAGTGTACTTTCTACTAACTTCATTAGAAAAGCAGACTCTCTTCGATTTGAGGAACTATTGAAATGCTTTGCTATCCTGAAAAATGAAATAAACTGGGGCGAAACACGAATTCTTCTCCACAGAGCCTAACATAACAAAATTCCCGGCTTTACCGCTTGTGTACAATCCGGGTTCCTCGGCCACGCCCGGGGGCGGAAGAGGCGGGGACTACAGGCGTCATATGCCAGCGCCGGAAGTTGGTTGAGACACAACGAGGAGCCATAATCCGCCGCGAACTTCAGAGTACGAAGCTTCTGGGGGCTACGTGGGTAGGGAATTGGCTGGCTGTATTTAGAGGTGGGTATTTGGACCCAAACTGGTAAGACCCTGGGGTTAGAATTGGGAGAAGCTGCGGTTTGAGTGGATGGTGTTAATCCTTTGCCCGGTTTCGTTCAGTTTAGCTGTTTGGCTTTGGGGAGTTGTTCTCCCCTTATTTTCGGTTCGCATGTTCGCTTGTTGAGGGATATAATTTATTGCCTTCTGCTGAATTTTGGAAGAGTAGGACTTATGTTAAATGGGAACGCGAGCTTTGCCGTCAGATCCCAGTGCCCCTACCTCTTAATAGCTGAATAACCCTACGCAAACTGACTTCTACAGGGCTGGGTTTCTTCATCTGTAAAGTAAGGGTAATAACTCCGATTGTTGTAAAGATTAAAATGACATAATATGTGTAAAATGTTACTGTGTCTAGTTTGGGGGTAAGTGCGCAATACGTTGTGTTTTTTGTTCCGTCCTTTAGCTCTACCCATAGGGTTTGGAAAAAGTACACGTTAGGAATTGGGACTCTTTTAGGTTTCCCTGAGAAAAATGAGGCCTGGTTGGATTTGTGAGGAGCCCTTTTGAGATATTCAAGATTTAAGTCTGTGATTTCAGGGACTATCAATGGACACCCAAAAGGACGTTCAGCCCCCGAAGCAGCAGCCAATGATATATATCTGCGGAGGTAAGGATAGAACTTACATAAAGTAGGAGTGTTTTACTTCAGAGTTTTGAAATAATTACATTTAACTTTGTCTTGAATGAGTCATCTTTTAAAGTTATAAAGCAGAATACTAGCAACTGTAAAAAAAAAAAAAAACTCATTAAGAATTCGTTTTCTCTCCAAGAAAAAGTGCACTGCCCATAACTTTTTTCTTTCCTCCTTAGTATATTGTTGTTAAATAATAAAAGTTCAACTGAGTACATTTTAAAGGTGTAATAGGCTTTATTAATGGATTCATGAATCAGGCAGCATCCTGTCTAGCAAGTAGATGGGAGCTCCAAAAGGCTACAGAAAAGGAAAGGTTTTTAAAGGTAGAGAGGAGTGGAAAAAAGGAAATGATTAGCAAAGACTCCATTGTTTTAGGTAAGGTCGCCTTTCTAAGAGGAACCAAAAAACAATAAATTTCCTAATGCTGACAAGGAAATTCCCATATTGACTGGTCAAGGGTTATATTTCTGCATGGTTGAAACTGCAGTTAGGTTAAGTGTTAAGTCTTGGTTTACTAGGTTTACGGACTTGGCATCTTAACCTAAGTGAGGCCATTCGGGGCCTCTGGTTTTCTTTTCAACATGGTCATAGCACCATACTCTTGAGATTGAGTACATACATTTTAATGCTTTGGGTGAAAAATACAGTTAAGATAATTTGTTTGTCCTATTTGCCCTTTAGACATTGAATGACCATGCTTTCTTTTTTAGAATGTCACACAGAAAATGAAATAAAATCCAGGGATCCAATCAGATGCAGAGAATGTGGATACAGAATAATGTACAAGAAAAGGACTAAAAGATGTATCCTTGTAACTTGCTAAATATGAAGTAGGTGGAAGTGAAGAATAATGCTTGGGTTGTTAGTCAAAGACTAATTTCTGATTAAAAAAGGTAATAACTTTTAGACTACTTACCAAAAAGTCATGATTAGGATTTTCATAATCATTTTATTTTTATTTTCATAATAAAAATCCAGTGAAGAGGCATGTACTAAATATTTAAATACTAGTTGATTTTAGTTCTCATAAGTCTATTTTTCAGGATTGGTATTTAACTTATTTTACTTATAGTCCTTGAGTTTTGAGTTTATGGACAAACTAAATTATACAAGAAGAAATACAAATACTGTGTATGAATGCTACTTAATGGATAAGGTGAGGCTTACAAGTTAGCCAAAAGACTGAAAGTACATTGTTACATGGTCTAATATATAATACAATTACAGTATTTTTTAAACCATTAAGTTACCTTGCTAACATGGTTTCAGTGTTTTTTGGTGCATTGGTCTTTTGTGTCATGGAAAGGGGACTAATAAAAACTGAAACTTTTTTATTTCTAATTGTCATAGTAAATGCTGAGTTCCATTCTTTTGTGCATTGTAGCTAAATAACTAGCTTATTGCAAAGAGAAAGTGACTTGGAAGTGTTAAATCTTTCATGTAATTTTTAAATATGTTTTTCTCCTTAACTCATTTTAATACAGTGGTGGTTTTTGACGCTCGATGAAACATGGAATTCAGAGGATTATCTTCATTTGGATTTGGATTTGGTGTTAATGTTGTATAGCTTTTGATTAGTGTACATATCTTTACAAATACAAATAACATTTCATTTTAAAATCCATCTTGTATTTAGATATCTATTTAATAGTTCCTATAAAGAAAAGTTTTTTGTTCAATTACATGATTTATAATTTACTTTTATTGTATATGTAATCTGACACAGAGTGAAAGTTTAAAGTGCTTCCCTAAACCACACTTTTAATTAAGGCCTAGAATCTTTTGGGATTCTTGTTAAAAATGAAGTTTTCTAGGGCCCTGTGAAGGTCTGATTAAGTAAGTTCCTTGGAAACTACTGTTTTACATCACCAACTTTGTAAACTCTCCAGCATTATTTTGTATTGAGTATACCAATGTACTTAGCTTGCATGCATTATTTTGAGTTAAATTTTTCATTTTTACTTGATGTAGGCCTTCTGTATGTATATATAAGGCTTGACTATATATATTTTTTTAAAGTATTTATTTAATTGACAGAGAGAGAGACAGCAAGAGAGGGAACACAAGCAGGGGGAGTGGGAGAGGGAGAAGCAGGCTTCCCACTGAGCAGAGAGCCCGATGCGGGGCTCGATCCCAGGACCCTGGGATCATGACCTGAGCGGAAGGCAGACGCTTAATGACTGAGCCACCCAGGCGCCCCAAAGGCTTGACTATATTTTAAATCTTGGGTGAGAAGAAGAAACTTTAATGGTTGCATCTGTAAGGCAAAATCAACCCTAAGTAAAGTGGATGAAGCAGATTATTAAGGCAGGTGTAGTTTCTGAGGTATAATCATTAAGGTAAAAAATTCTGCTTTCAGGATATATAAATATATATATGTGTACATATGTGTATATATATGTATATATATATATAGGGACTTGTTCACACTGACCTATGGATAAATGTTTAAAACTTTTGCCTTGATCTTAGGGATATGGATACTCGGATACTCCCATTTGTTCCAGGATTCCATCATTATGGGATGTCATCTGACATTCACTTTGAAGAGTAGATATATTCCATCTTCACTAATAGCTATGTGTGTCTCTGACATTCAAAAAATTAACTGTGCCATTTTAAAAAAGCACCTATATTTCTATTACCATTCTTGAATACTTAGGCTATAAATTTTTAAGTGCTATACAAAGTACTACCATGCTCAAATTTTTATTTATTTTTTAAAGATTTTATTTATTGGACAGAGAGAGGGAACACAAGCAGGGGGAGTGGGAGAGGGAGAAGCAGGCTTCCCGTTGAGCAGGGAGCCCGATGTAGGGCTCGATCCCAGGACCCTGAGATCATGACCTGAGCTGAAGGCAGACGCTTAACAACTGAGCCACCCAGGCGCCCCCCATGCTCAAATTTTTAAAGAGTGCTTCCTAGGTCCAGGTTTTCCTTTAGCCATACCTTTCATAATTTTGTAATTCTGCTCTGTTCCTTCTTGACCTTGTCTTTTTCAGACAAAGAGTCCCAATAAATATGATAGGACAGTCCCCTAAAATCCTAACACTTCGGATAATGTTGCTCTTAGCTTTTTTACATCACCAACTTTGTAGACTCTGTTTTGATTTTATCATAGTTCTTTTACATATCATTAATTTAATTGAATATTATTTGGTTAACTAGACAGTGGTTTAATGGAAAAAGCATTACCACTGGAACTTAAGACCAGCATTTCAACCAGTCACCTCTTTGTGTCCCTTACATCTATAAAAATGGAAGCCATTTTACCTCTTGCCTCCCTGGACAGTTTTAAGAAAAAAAGGTAAAATGGGTATAAAATTGCTTTAAAAGGTGGTTTTGGGGGTGCCTGGGTGGCACAGTCGGTTAAGTGTCCGAGTCCTAGTTTCAGCTCAGGTCATGATCTCAGTGTCGTGGGCTCGAGCCTGGTGTCTTGCTTTGCACTGAATGCAGAGACTCTGTCCCTCTCCCTCTACCCCTCCCCTCTGCACACACTCTCTCTCAATAATAAATAAAAACAAATCTTAAAAAAAAAAAAAGACTTTCAAGAAGTGTTCTGTAAGTATAAATACCAGTAAATCTGAGCTTAGAGTTACCACCTAACTTGTCCCGTACTTAAACTACTTACCAATGACTATGGACATGCATGTCCATGAGAAAAGCATGGAAATTGATTCAAATCTAGCCCTGCTACTCAGTGACTAGCCAGTTCATTTCTTTTAACTTTAGCTTCATTGTCAAAGTGGAGGAATTTATGATGGTCAATATGGTGCTTTGAGGCTCTGAAGTTATCTTCAGAGATTAAAGTTGTGAAAAATGTAAAAATAGTAGATGAAATCAGAAATGGCCAATCTTGGGGCTCCTTGGTGGCTCAGTCAGTTAAGCGTTGGGACTCTTGATTTTGGCTGAGGTCATGAACCCAGGGTTGTGAGATGAAGGTTCTCTCTCCCTCTGCACACCTCAGTGCCTGGGTGGCTCAGAGGGTTAAGTGTCTGCCTTTGGCTCAGGTCATGATCTCCAGATCCTCTGCACACCTCACCCTCTGCTGTGTTTGTCTCTGTGTGTGTGTGTGTGTGTGTGTCTGCCAAAAAAAAAAAGCCAGTCTTAGGAGTGTCTGGCTGGCTTAGTCAGTAGAGCAAGCAACTCTTGATCCTTGGGGTTGTGAGTTCGAGCCCCATGTTGGGTGTAGAGATTACTTAAAAATTAAAAAAAAAAAAAGGCCAGTCTTAAGACTAAATTATATAAGTTGAGAAGATGTAAAAACAAGTTGCCTCCTCACATATACAAATACATTGATATTCCCACCCTTCCTAGAATAAGTTCTGTGTAGAAAATTAGTCAAGAGGGAGTGGTTACTTGAACAGAGGTCTGAAGGGTGAGATAGTAAGACAAGGGGAAGGAGCGTTCCTGAAATTGAGGAAATAGCCATTGTAATGTCTCAGGGGTGGATGTTCCCACTTTAGAATGAAGCCCATGTGGCTCAAACTTTTGAGGTAGGCAGAGGCCTGCTTATTTATGGTCTTGTGATGGGAGTAAACAGGACAGTAACATGATTTAAGACTAGATTACTTGAACTGGGGGCGCCTGGGTGGCTCAATCGTTAAGGGTCTGCTTTCGGCTCAGGTCATGATCCCAGGGTCCCGGGATCAAGCCCTGCATCGAGCTCTCTTCTCCACGGGAAGCCTGCTTTTCCTTCTCCCACTCCCTCTGCTTGTGTTCCCTCTCTTGCTGTGTCTCTCTCTGTCAAATAAATAAAATCTTTAAAAAAAAAAAAAGATTACTTGAGCTGTTCTGTGAGAATGGATAATGTAGGGATGGGTGATGGATGGGGAACCCAGTTAAGGACCACCTGTAATAGTTCAGGATAACGATGGCAGGCCAGAGTGGTAGCAGTGGAGGGACTAAGAAGTGGCTGGTTGTAAGATAACATTTTGAAGTTGAGCTAACTGGACTTACTGATGGATTGGCTATCATTTTAAGAGCTCAGTAAACAGTACGGACTTAAGTGAAAGGCTTTGGGTTAAGATATCCACAGTGTCTTTTGTTAACAGTCCGTGTGACTTCACCAGGGTTCACTTTCCTCATTTGTAAGGTAGGCATGAAATAATAGCACCCACCTCATAGGTTAGTTGCAAAATAAAATGAATCCATAAAAACTCTTAGCCTAATCAGTGTTTATTATTATCACCATTGCTGGATTATTTTCCACACATGATTAGTTTCAAGATTAGTCTCCCAGCTTCCAGCCTTGCTGTCTCCATCCTCTTCAGATTGCTGTTTCAGGAATGCAGATTTCATGGCACTGTCCTGCTGAAAATCCTCAGTGGCTCTGCATTTTGATAAAGCCAAAAGTATTGGAATAGTATATTTGACTCCTTTTCTATCTCTGTCACCACTTCAACCCACCTCTCACTTAATCTTTTGGTTCTAAGGAGATGTTTGCAGTTCTTTAAGCAGGTAACTCCTTTCTTTCTTACCTGTGCCTTTCTCATGCTTTTCTCTCGGCCTGAAATGACCTTTTGTGTTGTTCTTAACCAGCATCAGAATTCTGAAGGATTGTTTCATAGTCTCCTGGCTTCCAGTATTTTTTTTTTAAGATTTTACTTCTTTGAAAGAGCATGCTCAAATGCACAGGCGGGGGGGGGGGG